GGGATATCATATAATTAGATTCTTTCAAGTGATTGGTTCCAGTGATTTGAGACATGTTCTTTTCCTCTCATAGGTACTTAAGAAAGAGATCCATGCTCGATGCATACTGACTGCTTCGCCTTATACTCTCAGCCACGCAACTAATAATGTAACTCACACATATGTGTACAAGACCTAAAACCCTAATGACGATCCCCATTCAACCGATAGTGCAAAGTGGATATCTACAATTGTTAACATATTTTTTTTTCTTTATTTTTTTACTTTTCCAAGTGCTTCTATGCAGTTATTACGCTCCCATATGCTAAATCATGTGTGTTAGGCTGATTCTCGACATCGCGCGCTTTTCAACGCCTGAAGACTTGAACACCCTTCCCGTGACTTTGTGTTCTGGTCGAGGTCATCTCCTTCTAATTGAAAGCCTAGATGTAGGTTTCCGAAAGTAGAGTTACTGAACTAATCGTAGAATGTTCAGTTCAGAGCCGAGTGGATTCCATAGCAGCAGACTTCCAGAAGTACATCGGTTCAAACTGGCGCGGACGATCTTCACATATATGTATGCCGGAAGACATTTTATTTAGCATTATGACAGGACAACAGGGTGCGTTGGCAAATGCTTTCACCCTCATGCTATAGTACAGTGGAAGCGGCTCAGGCAAGATTGGTATTCGTGAATCATCCAGACGCCCGGTTGAGAGGGCCCCAATTTGCCCGAGGATTGATTTGATACCGGACAAGCCGTTTCTTGGAATGAGACGCCTCTCTGCCCAAGGCCTCATCAAAAACGACCTCTAATGTGCTCAGATCTTGCTTAACTGCAGGCGCTGTCTGTAGGGGCTGGGGCCCTTCGGCCTGCAGACGCAGCTCCGCGCCTTGAATGCCTGGAGGGTGTCTATGGCCAGAGCGGTAGATCGCAGCTTCGACTTTCGTCACTAGGTCACTGATATCCTTTCCACTTTCAGCCGCAGACATGAGCTCTTTCCTCAATATCTCGAGTGAGTCTTCTCCTTTATCTTTTCGAGAGTTTTCTCGACTCTTCGCCATGATCGCCGCTCCAGGAGTGCCAGGGCGGATTGCTCCTTCTTTGACAGGGGCTTTTTGTCTCACCCACTCTCTCATGATTTCCCAAATGACGTCCCAGGGTGCATCTGTACGAATGGTATTTGGCTTTGCATGACTGCGCGTTGATCGGTAGCCCAGGGAACGGAGAGCTCCACGGAAAGCATCGGCTGATATAGTTGACGCGTGTAGTACCTTCGCCAGAGAACTGAGAGTGAAATAGAACGGAAACGGATCCCGGACGGCCGGATCCGATCGAGGAATAATGGCCGAATATTCACGGGACGTGGACACTTCCGTGAGCTCCTCCTCGGCTGCAAGGGTGCCCGTCGGGGCAGAACTCGAAATTGTGTCCAGGTCCAAATCCTCTTCAAGAGCTGTGGTTAACATGCCCTCGATGCGCTCAACGGTATGGTAAATATCTCTATCGACACAGGGGAGCATGTCAAGAATCTGCTGGATGAAGTGAGGGTTATGGAGTGGCCCAGCCCACATCGGGCCGCCCACATGAGTTTTGAAGCCACAATGTTCACAATGTGTGCCGGCAGTAGGCCCTTGAGCGAACCCATAGTGATAGTAAGGATTCCCTTTCTTGTCCAATCTTTGTTTCGTCTGCGTCAGAGGCTGCGTTGTCCATGCTCCGCAACCAGAGTCGCAGTTGAAAACTAACATTGTGTTACCTGAGGCAAACTTGACCTCTGCCGGCGATCGATGAACACGAACGAAGACACGTGCATAGAAGTCGATGGACAAGGAGAGAAGCGGCTCGATTGCAAGTCCATATTTCGCGGCCGACGTCGCCAGCCCATGTAGTATAAGGCGCAGTCCACCTTCATGAGAATGCGATCCTTTGATGGGGACGCCTCCGTATAAGGCATATGCCTTTTCTGGGTAACCGTTGGATGCCCATACGCCCGCATCGGTGCAAGTGACACAGAGAAGACCACCGTCTTTGACACCTTGAACAGCAGCATCCATAAACGGAGCCGCGGTACCGTAAGGATCTAGGTCGATGACATCAAACTTGCCCGCGTGAATTCCGCTATTTTGTGTGCCTGGTTGGTTTAACAGGCTGTACATGTACGCACGTGCATCCCCGAGATTGGGTCTAATGAGCTTTCCAAGACCGTTGTATTCGATGTTCGTCTTCATCCGCTGAATCGCAGAGCTTGACAGGTCATTTGCAACCACGCAGGTAGTGAAGGGAATTTCTGAGGCATATCGTAGAGCCCGGAGACCCGTAGCGGAGAGCGCGTCCAAGATTGTGAAGGTCGGAGTCTGCTGATCAGAGGTTGAAACAGAAGCCCCAAGATTTCCATTCGCCGCAGCCGGTTGCTCGACATCTCCGTGAGTTTGTTCCTTGTCCTCTTCGTCTTCCCTCTTGCGCTTTTTCCCCCTGCCGGAGCCGTTCCGTTTCCTCTCGGCTTTCAGCTTCTTGAGGGCCAGCACATGCTCACCATAGGCTTTGATCGCCAGCACACTGAGATCCCGGTTGAATTGCTGGATGGGATTGTAGAAGACAGATTGCAACTGGTCTTCAGGTTTGAGGTCCTTTTTCGTCCCCTTGGAAGCTGCAGCCTGGGTCGGCGGGTTAAGAATGTATGCTCGACCTTCTTTCACAGCCTGGTATTCCTGCCCATCATGCTGCACCAGTCGACTGGCACCAGCGGCTGTTGTTGGATCCTCCATGAGTGAAGATACGGAGTAATAAAATCGGGGGGGAACTATGCCTGAGCGACTGTGGGTCACTGCATATATCGTCGAGGGATGCGAAAAGCCAAGGAACTCGGGTCTTATGTTTCCAACGATAGATCGGAATATTGTCAAGCTTTGAAACCGTTTAAGTGAATTCATCCACATCGGTTTCGGGCTAGCAAGAGTTGAATCAGGACCATTGACAAGCTTGAGGTCCGCAGGCTGGTTGCGGAGACCAGAAGGCTTAAAAAAAAAAAAGGTCAAGAAAATGTATAACGCACGGACCCAACAACCATCAGATAACCGTATAAAAACCAACAATGAACAACATCTGGTGACATCTTCTATGGATTATTTACTTGTCTGTACGGAGGATTTGAGTCTATTATATAGTCTGTATTCGACTACTGTGGCAGTACATGTATTGCAATGTATATGTTGACATATTATTGATTATATTTCCTACTATGGTACACACCTTCCGAGAGCAATCGCCCCAGAATCTGTCAATTATACACAATAACATTAGGTCATAACCAGGCTCCAATGATGGGCACTCGGTCATACATACCATCCCAACTGCTCGCTTCCCAACCGGATCCTTGTCCTCCACGTCCGATAATTCCAAGTGCGCCTGCAAGCCAAACAGATGCTCCTACCACTGCAATGCCATTGACAATCCACCAGATCTTCCTCTGCTTCTTCATTCGCTGCTCACTGTCTGCGTGGCCTAGGTACCCTTCGAGTGAGCCCTTTTTGTGTATTCGTTCCTTTCGGGCGGTCGTGACTCTCCACCCCATCCAATTTGCCCACCCCCCAACGATATGCCATACTCCAACAGCGACAAACATCAAATAGTAAACGTTCCAGAAAACCGGGCTTCGCACAAACCCATGCGCAACGTAGCCAAGGCCGACTCCCGAGCTTCCACCGTCGACCATCAGCGGCACGACGCGGTTGACAAGAACATGAGCACCGAGCAAAGGAACAAGCATATAGCCCAAGCGCGCTTGAATGGTCATACGGGGCCAAAAAGTGAGTGAGTACCGTTGAGACCTTGTCTCGGCGCCGTAAAGTCGTGCCCTACGGGAAGAACGGATGTTCCGTAGGACGATCCCGGAAGTAACATGGGCCAGGATGGGAACGGTAAGAATGGCGTGCTCAAGAGATGGAGACTGGTACAAAGGCCTTGTGAGGAGGAGATAGTTTTCGGCGGCAGGCACGGAGCGGGTCATCAGAGGAATGAGCGAGGTATTGGCAAAGTGCAACGTGAAGAATAAAGTCGGCGGGTATGTGGAATATCTCTGAATGGCGGACACTGCAGGTTTACTTATTAGCTTACACTTGATCGGCAGATGGACCGAAGCATTTTCTCTTCCAACATACACCAAGAATCCCAGTTATGCCCGCGGAGGCCCAGTTTGGGAAGAGACAATCCGCCATGTGCTGGAGCATCTTGGGCCTTATGGAAGAAGCCGCCGTTTTCGATATCACCAAACTCTTCAGAGACTGGAGAGGGATCCAATTCCTGCATGGAAATCAAGGATCGTGTGTCAACATCATCGACCTTGGGCAACGACAGATCTTGAGGCGGCATTGTATATCACGAACGAAATATCTCTCTAGCTAAGAATAAATCAGAGAAATATTGTAATGAATATTAAACAATTTAAAGTTCATCGCATCGTCATTATCATGAGCAAGCCTTAGCCAGCATTGGGAGTGAACGTCTTTAGGTTGTTGTATCTCCTAGGTACAGATGCCTTGCTTTTTTCCTGTTGTAGTCGGACTGCACTATCATTGGCTCGTCGGCTTTTCACCACTCAACCCGAACCAACCTTAGATAGGTAACTATCGAAGCTACCTACCTATTCACTGCTGATGCCTGCCAGGCGATTTGACAAATGATCAAAGATCAAGATAGATACTTCAAGATTAATTTTGACATTTACAGTTGAAGAGGATATCCCCAGTGCATGAATCAGTCAAGGTACCTGGTAGGTTGGAGGACGGCGGTGAGATGTCGGGTACTTTTTCTGTCGGCAGAATAAAGCAATCATAAGATGCTAAGCTATCCATTCATGAGAATCATGACAGACGTCGATGCCTTCCATTACCAATATCTGCCAGTTACTGAATCAACCAGTTGATCGCCTGCGATTCATCTCCTCTCGTAAATCTCGTCAAGAATTTCTCCACAATATTTCTGGTCTTTGACCTGACCTGTTGTATTAGTTCAGACAGCCATGGCACCGGTATGCTTCCTGAAATGCGTCTGCTTCAAACGGTTATCGAGTTACGACCTCGATATCTAGTTTTGCAAACTTGCAATGCGAGGTTACTGATTTCTCACTCCTTCTATTTTGTCTGTACCAGCGAGGGTTCACGAATCCTGCTCCCAAGGTAAATCATGACTTGAAATCTTAGCGCTGTTCAAATCTATTGAGAGACTGCTAAAAATTACCTTTTGCTCACAATTTCAGACTGAATCTGCCCGCTCTGCTTTGAGCTCCTTCACATGTACTCTTTGCAATAAATCTTACTCGCGCCATCCGGAATATGAAGCCCATATCTCTTCCTACGATCACCAACATCGCAAGCGCCTACAAGACCTGAAACAATTGTCGCGAGATCCTAATGCTGCTGAAAAGGCAAGAAGAGCCGAGAGAAAGGCAGATGCAGAGGCGGGACTGAGAGTAATCGGAACGACTCCCGCATCAGGAGCCGGAGGCGCCGTAGGCACCAGTGGGGGAGGCGGGTTTAAGAAAGGAGGATTCAAGAGCTCCTTTACCACGGTCAAAGGGCCAGTATCTGCTACTGTGTCTACGAGGAAAAATGTCCTAGGGGATGACGATGACGATGACGATGACGCCGACCAAGCGCTAGGAGCGGGTGAATCGAGCGAATTTGTCAGGAACAAACCCAGGCAGGATACGGACGCTCAACACGACAATGCAGAGAGCGATACTGACGAGGAGTACACAAACGACGATACGGGGGCCAGTTACTATGATCCTCGAAAACCTACCGACTGCTCGTTACGGTGCCCGGGGGTTCAACATGAGCTTACCATAGCATGAACGATGTTGGTTTGCCACCGATTCGCCATAAAGCAGATGCGAAATGGGCGCTCCTCATGATTATGCTAGCATGTATTTCGGAGTTATGGGCTTCCTCTGTCTGAATGGGGCTATTTTATTCATGTACATAGTTATATTCTCGAGACAGCATTGCTTCCATGACATCTTCGCGCTTCAACCTGAGTTGGATGCGAATTCTGTAAGCATAGATGACGCTTTGGCCTCGCGATCATTCTTGGTCGCCAAGTACTTTTGTTACTGCCGAAGTCCTGTGGATCGAGAGGATTCTAGCACAAAAAAGATGGACAAAAGCTGGGAAATTGAGTAAGTCGATTCTCTAGTGTAGTTGTACAGTTTCGGATAAGGTTAATTTAGATTAAGGAACAATGGAAAGGCTTGCAATAGAGAAAGGGTACTAGACGCATGATTTTGATCCTCCAAATAATGGGAACATCTCCAATTTATCGCATAAAGCCAGTTCACAGTCGTAGAAGCTTGGCAGCCTGTCCAACGATAGTATCCTCTTGAGGGAAGCTCATCTGCTCAAGACCAACAGCGTAAGGTGTAGGAACCTCAGCGCCGGTAACACGAACAGCAGGAGCATTGAGATAGTCAAAGCCATATTCCATGGACAAGGCGAGGATTTCGGACCCGACACCGAACATGGGGAAGCCGGATTCGACGCACATCAGGCGACCGGTCTTCTTGAGCGACTGAATGATTGTCTCAACATCGAGCGGCTTAACGGACCGAAGATTAATAACTTCAGCTTCGACTCCATATTTCTGCTTCAGCTCAGCGGCAGCGTTGAGCGACTGTCCAACGCAGCGGGACAGAGAAACAATGGTCAGATCCTTTCCAGGACGCTCGATCTTGGCCTTTCCAATAGGAAGAACGAAGTCATCCTTCTGAGCAGCCTCGCTCATGGGGAATGCTTGACCATACAAAAGCCTAACCAGATGTTAGCTCAAGTCCGGCAATGTCAAGCGATTCTGGCAGCACATACTCATTTTCAAGGACAACGACAGGGTTGGGGTCACGGATAGCGGCCTTCATCAGGCCCTTGGCGTCCTCAGCGCTCCAAGGAGCCACAACCTTCAATCCAGGAATGCTGCCGTACCAAGCCGAGTAGTCTTGGGAGTGCTGAGCGGCGACACCAGCAGCAAATCCGTTGGGTCCACGGAAAGTAATGTTGCAAGGCTGAATACCTCCAGACATGTAATGTGTCTTGGCGGCGGAGTTGATGATTTGATCAATGGCCTGCATAGCAAAGTTGAAGGTCATAAACTCGCACTGTAGATGCGAATCACCCGTCAGCCTTCCAGGTCTATCCACGAACGGATAAACTTTCGACTTACGATAGGATGCAGTCCAGCGAGAGCGGCGCCAACAGCCAAACCACAAAAGCCCGCCTCTGTGATGGGAGTATCAATAACCCTCTTGGGACCGAAGCGGTCCAATAGACCTCTCGTCACTTTGTATCTGTGGAGATGAGAACAAGGTCAGAAGAGAAGAATCACAGTATAGCACGTCATTGCGATTGATATATGGAGCAAAAGCAAGTAGTTAAGAAAAGGTAATCCCATACGCTCCATTGTACTGCGCAACCTCCTCACCCAGGATAAATGTCTTTGGGTTACTCTCCAGCTCCTCGGCAAGGGCTTCGTTCAATGCGTCTCGGACAGTGACTTCCTTAGTACCGCTTTCCGTCGCATATCCCCGAGCGCGTAGGATCGAGGCCGCACAGGCGGACTTCTGGAAAGTAGAGCGGAATGGTGTAGCGGAAAGTCGAGATGAAAGCAGACGAGCTGCTGGGCGGAAAAGTCGGGGGGCAGCCATTGCCGTCTCAAAGAGTGTAATTCCAGGTGTGAAAAGAAGAATTGACTTCAGATAGCTTCTTCTGCGGATGAAGATGATGATGTGAAGGAGACTTGCGGGAAGAAATCAGCCCCAGTACCTCCTAACTCCGTTTCGGACCTGGCCGTCGATAAAGTTTTTTGGTTTTGGGTGAGAGCTTCGAGACTGTTGGGCTAGCGATGACTAAGCACCGCCCTCACCGGTACCTTCTTCCGTATTATTGTTTATCCATGGTCGTACAAGTATAGATAGCTATCGGGAATAATATAGATACTAAGGTAGCTATCCATTACTATCTCCTTTGGACGGGGAAACGAGCTGCAGCTTATTGATTCCTTCCAAAGTCATTTGATGGTGCGGGACATTGCGCTGACCAGGATGAGATACTTTGGTTACTGGGCTCTTCTCATTTCATCTTCACCCTGCCTAGCTATCCAGCCATCAACTCCAGATGCCATACCAGCACCCATTCGCGATCTCCAATGGGGTCAGCTGAATTTCCTCCACACCACAGATACTCACGGCTGGCTGGCCGGTCATCTACAGGAGTATGGCTTTGCCATCTAATGTGTCATTGTTGATGCTCGCTGATGCAGATCGAAAAGGGCTTCCTATGGAGCAGACTGGGGAGATTATGTTTCTTTCACCACCCGCATGCGGGAAAAGGCACTCGCTGAGGGGAATGATCTGCTGATAATTGACACTGGTGATAGGGTTGAAGGGAACGGGCTTTACGATGCTTCAGAACCCAAGGGCGCCTACATCTCCGACATTCTGCGTCAACAGCAAATTGATGTGATGTCAGCTGGCAATCATGAACTGTACAAGCAGAACACCTCGGAGACTGAATTATTGACTACTGTGCCCAATTTTCGTGATAGCTACCTGGCGTCCAACATTGACGTCGTTCATCCAACTACCGGAGAACTCGTGCCGTTGGCTCCACGCTTTAAGAAGTTCACAACCCAGAAACAGGGCATCCGCATCGTCGCTTTTGGTTTTCTGTTTGATTTCACAAAAAATTACAACAACACAGTCGTTTATACGGTGGAGGATACGATTAAGACAAAGTGGTTCCAAGAAGCCATTCGTGACGAAGAAGTCGATCTTTTCCTCGTGATAGGCCATGTTCCAGTTCGTTCGAAGGAGTACAACGCTATTTTCGAAGAGATCAGAAACGTTCATTGGGATGTGCCAATTCAATTTTTCGGCGGCCATTATCATATCCGTGACTATGCTCGGTACGATTCTAAAGCGTACGGGTTGGCGAGCGGCCGCTTCATGGAAACCATTGGATTTATGTCAATCGACGGTCTGTCCACCAGCAAGAATCGGCTCAAGCCTGCGCAAGCAACTCCCAGCTTCAACCGACGGTACATTGATAACAACCTCTACTCGTTTCACCATCACACTGGTCTTGACCGGGATTCTTTCCCCACAGAGCACGGTCGAAATGTATCACATCTTATTCAGCAGTCCAGGGATGCCCTTCAACTGGATAGGGTCCACGGTTGCGCTCCTCAGGACCTCTGGATGACCCGAGTAAAGTATCCTTCTCAGGACAGTATATATACATGGCTCGAAAAGGAAGTGCTTCCTAATCAAATGAAGGATGACTCTCGCGATGAAAAGCCCGCGTTGGTCATTGTCAACACTGGAGCCATACGCTTCGACATATTTAAGGGTCCGTTTACGCAAGATACGACATTCATCGTCTCGCCCTTTACGAGCGGTTTCCGCTATGTCAAGGACATCCCCTACGAGAAAGCGCAAACGGTAGTGGAAATTTTGAACAAGCAGCCGCAAATTTTGACTGCGCCGAAGGACCACACAAGTTACACACCATGGACTCTTGCGCCGCCGGAGCAATCAATGCATATGCACGACAAGATTGTGGAAAGCGACGATGTGGCTGCTCACTATCTTACTGATCAGAGTCAGCTTCCAATGAGCAGCCCATTCGCGCCCGAGGTTTTTCCGGGCTACACCACTGCAGATGATGGGGGTATAGACGGTGACGACACTGTTCATTCGCCAATATCATTTTACCGTGTTCCAAATTGCATTCAAGCTCTCATTTCTCCAGGGACGTCTGCAGATCCGGAGACAGTGGATCTTGTGTATATTGATTTTATCGAGCCATACGTCGCTCTGGCCGCCAAATTTGCGAGCCTTGATCTCGATTTTGCACGGGACAGTGACGTTTATATGCCCTTCAAGACATTAACTGATCTTATTTTGGACTGGATCAAGAATAACTGGAAATGCGAAGATGCGTGATTCTGTTTCTAGTCCGGTTCAGATCACTGTTTGCGCCAATGGAATCAGTAAATGATCTGATTTACTATAGCCTATTATGATTGCGTACATGCACTTAATATACTTTTTACACCATCATCCCCAGGAATTATTCATCCCCTTCGTATTTTAGCAAGCCTTTGCCTTTGCGGAATCCACTTAGAGTTTCCTGCACACCTGCAGCAAGCTCAGCGCCTTCGGTTTCCCAGGTCCATTTGATGTATTCCACCGGGATATCTTTGAATTTGCCGGCTCGAGTCAACTCCAGCATATCATTAATTGTGTTTTCCTTGAGCTCAGGGTGTTTATCTCCCCATCTGCTCACCCAGAACCCGTCAAAAACAAGGTTCTTGAAGATCAGAAGTCCAGATGGCAAGGCGACTGGCTGTTTTGACATGGCACCATAAGTGACCAGGTGCGAACCTGGAGCAAGGGTCTTCGCCAGGGCAGTGGCACTCTTACCACCCACGCAGTTGAGGGCTAGTCGAATTGGCTCCTTTCCTTGACGGGTGAATTCATTCACCATGTTCTTGAATTCCCCAGATAGCAGCTCGGATTCAGTAACCACTGCATTGGCCCCCAGGTCGTAGAGCTCCTTTTTCAAAGAATCAGTTTCTTCGGGTGTCTTTCTCTCGCGAACAACATTGATGGTTTTGATGCCCCATTCGCGTGCAAGTTGGATTGCAGCTCGTCCAACACCGCTATTTGCTCCGTTCTGGATGAGCCACTCTTCTCCAGCCCGCATCCAATCCCAGTCACAGAGATCTTTGATCATTCGGTAGGCAGTCACCGGATTGACACTAACTGTGCTGACCTGAAGCGGGCTCAGACCTGCTTTGTTTTCA